ACACACTGGCTGGTCACTGAGGGGGTTACTGGGCCATACTGAGGGTAACTGGGAGGTCACTGGGATATACTGGGGGCACTGGGATCCCCTTACCCGGCTGTGGTACATCTCCCCCTCTGGATTTTGGGGGGCATCCCTAGGACCCCTCCCCTGGGGGTTGGGGGACCCCTTGAACCCCATTGCTGGGCTTTAGGGGACCCTCTAAAATCCTTTCAAAACCTCTGAAATCCCCCTTCGACCCATCAAAACCTTCTCCAGGTCCCTTCAAATCCCCTCAGAGATCTCATCCCTCCCCAGCACCCTCTAAACCCTCTCAGTGACCCACAAAACCCACCTGAGACTCCCCAAGCCCATTCAGGGACCCCCAGTCCCCCCCACAGGCCCTCCAAACAGTCTGGGACACCTTAAACCCCCCCTAGAGATCCCAAAACTGCCTCAAAGGTCCCCACAAAGCCTCCCAGGAACCCCAAACCTCCCCAGAGAGCCCCAAAGCCCACCTGGGACACCCCAAATCTTCTCAGAAAACAAAACTCCCATCAGAGCCCCCCAGCACTCTTCAGGGACCTTCAACCTCCCCCCCGAGTCCTTTCAGGGACCCCTCAAAACGTCCCCGGGAACCCCCGAACCCCCCCGCTAAACCCTCCCGAGCCCTCCAGCCTTTCCACCCACACCCGCGCTCCCCGCAGCCCCCGAGGGGATCCCCAGACCCCGCTCTCGCCGCCCCCCCGCCAACTCACCCAGCGAAGTGCAGCGGCCGCAGGCGAGTCCTCCTCACTCCCGACCACGAGGCCAAAATGGCGCTCGCTCCGCGCGCCCTCCGCCTTTACAGACCCGCCCCGCAGCCAATCAGCGCGCGGCCACGGCCCCTGCCCGCCCCCCGCCTGCGCGGGGCATTGTGGGAGTTGTAGTCCTTGCGGCGGGGGAGGATCGGATTTTTTTTGGTTTTTAGTTTTTCTGTCTTCTTTTATTTTCTCTTTTTTTCTTTCTCTCTTTTCTTTCTTTTTTCTTTCTTCTTTCTTTTCTTCCCTTTTTTCTCTCTCTTTTTTCTTTTTTCTCTTTTTTATTTGTTCTTTTTTTTCCTCATTTTTTCCTATTTTTCTTTTTTTTCTCTTTTTTCTCATTTTTATCTCTTTTCTCCCTTTTTTAATTTTCGTTTTTCTTATTTTTCCCTTTTCCTTTTTTTTTTACATAGTTTTCTATTAGTTCTTTTATTCAAGGACGATTTAAACACAGATCAAAACAATCTCCATGTACATATCTTACAAAAACAGATAATCTGCCTTGTTCCAGGTTTGTGAGGGTTCCTAAGATCACAGACATTGAGACATCAAGGGTGGAAAGTGAAGCAACTTTATCCTGTCCCTTGCCACAGCCTTCAATCCACACCCAGCCCTGGATTTCTGCAAAGCCGCTGGGCAGGAGCAGGAGATGGAGCTGGTGCTCGGCGGGAGGGGCAGGCAGGCCACGCACCTTCTATTAGAGGCACTTCAATCATCCAGGAGATCCAATGGTTCCAGGGCTGTGTGTTCATTCTTCAGGCATCCAGCCCCAGTACGGTCCCCGACCTTGAAGCGCCCCCCTGGATGCCTAAGTGTCCCCTAAATGTCCCCCTAAAACTGCCCCATAAGTGCCCCTCAGGATCCCCAAGTGTCCCCCCAGTACCAACTCTTTATTCATGTTTATTATTTCACTTTCTGGGTGTCTAAAACATTTCTGGCACGGTTTTGCCTTGGGGGAGCTGAACCTCCTTGCTGGCAGCAGGGACTTGGCTCACAGCTGAGCAGTGTCTGTTACCAAAGGTGAACCTCATGAGCTTCAGATTGTGGCAAAAAAAGAAGAAAAAGCCCTCTTTGCTGTGTGCAGCCAGTTCTGTGAGCAAAGCAGGACCCAGGAGACTGAGCAGAGACAGGATGGAGTTGGGAAATGTGGAGCAAGGTTGTCCACACTGTGTCAGACCTCAAGGGAAAGCTCCAACCAGTCCAAACCTCCTTAGGAGAGCCCCTGGATCAAAATCAATTAGAGAAAGCTGCAATCAACTCTTTTCAAAGGAGAAAAGTAAGAAACTACACCCTTGAAAATAAGAATGCATGTTTATTAGAACCTCTTTGAAGTATTTCTGCGTATTAAGAAAACTTCCTGATTAACTGCACTAGACTAGAGGAAAATCAAGGCAGAGCTGTGGTTTCTTAGCACTTGATTGATTTTAAGGAGCCCCGTGGTCCCCACGGTGCACTTGGCGCTGAGTCCTTGAACCTCAGGTGAGGTTCTCCTCTGAGAGAGAGGAGACCTTTCCATGAGTCCAAGTCAGAAGAGAATCTCAACATATCTCGAAGCATTAATGGGTCTCACTGAGGGCCATTCCCAATCCAGGCTCCTCAAGGACTCCTTGAAGGAGATCACTGCAGGCCATGATTGCACAAATCTGTCACAGACTTTGTGTCAAAAGCAAAAGCCAAAGTGCCCTTAAAAACTGAACTACTTTGAAGAATTAATGAGCCCCACAGAGTGTCACAACTGACAAAGCCTCTCAAGGGACTCATTAGAGCAGGTAATTGCAGAGGATTGCACAAACCTCTCCAACACTCAGTGTGGAAAGCAGAACACAAAGTCCTGTGAAAACCCTGCAGTCCCTGAAGCATTAACGAGCCCCACTGGGTGTCACAACCGACAGAGTCTCTCAGGGGACTAATTAGAGCAGGTCATTGGAGGCCATGGCTGAACAAACCTCTCAGAGGCTCAGTGCCAAAAAAAGCACCTCAATAAACCCTGAGTGCCTTGAAGCATTAATGAGCCCCACTGAGGGTTGTCACTGTCTGAGGCTCTCAAGGGACTTGTTACAGCAGATAATTGGAGGACATGGCTGCACAAACCTCTCAAAAATGCAAAATCAAAACCCCAAATTGCTCTGAAAACCTTGCAGTCCCTTGAAACTTTAAGGAGCCCCCCAAGGGCCATTCATGACAAAGCCTCCCCAGGGACTCTCCAGCAGATCCTTGGAGGCCGTGGGTGCAGGGAGGCAAAGGCTCTGGGCAGCAGCTCAGGTGCTGAGAAAAGCCTGGCTCGGTTTGGGGAAGTTTCCTTCCTTTTCAGGCTTCCTCCAGCTTTGGGAAACGCTGCCTGTGAGATTGGCACCACCTAAGAAGGGCTCTGGCAGGTTCCTGGGAGCAAAGCTGGCCTGCTTTGGGCTCCACTCGAGATCTTTGGAGCATGGAGACACCTGAGAATTAAAAAGAGGAGGCTGCATCTTTGACAACATTTGGGAACAAGGAGGAATTGCTCATATGTGGATAATCTGCATGGGAATGGTTGCTTTGAGTTAAAGCATTAAATTAAAATATATGTGGGTATCTCAGTGATTACTTTTGGTTTTAAATAGGAATATTTAATTTTTCTGTATATTTATGTTATGAAGTTGGTAGATTAGAAAACAATCATGGTGACTTTTCTCTCATGCAAACTTTAATTTGATCTTGGGAATTTTGAATGACATCTCTATTAGACAGATAAAACTCACAGGAAAATGGCACAAATACCTTGGGAAAATAAGCGAAGTATTAGGATGACGTTTGTGTGAATTCAGATTTTTCTCTTGAAAAAATGCCCTGTGCTTGTCCCTTGGCTAATTGGATACTTGATTTTTTTCTGACCTGCTATTGTCATCAGTGACACCTCAGGGTTTAAGAAGACTTCTCAATGGGTGTTAGTGCTGGCTGAGACACAGCAGCATCCTCAGCCCTCGCCTGGGAGAGGACATTCCCTCCCCAGGCCAAAGTGAGTTCCTGAAACCCCTTTTCAGCTGAGTTGTGGCTTCATTAGAAGGCACCTGCGATGGAGGAGCTGCTGCCTTGTAGCTCCCACCCTGCCAGTGAGCCCTGCAGGGAGTCCCTGTGCTCTGGGAGGGTGGGGAATGCACAGGGAGGGCTCAGCTCCCCAGGCAGCAGGAGCATTGCTGGGCCTCTGCCAGGGCTTGCAGGGCACTGGGGAGTGTTGCAGGGCTGGGATGGGAGTGAGCGGGTTCTGGGCTGGATTTGTGAGGGCTCAGGAATCCCAGGGACAGAGCAGCAAGGTCGGGAATGTTGGATTATCAGTGACTCTCTCAGAAGTTATAAAAACCTGATCTGTTCAGGCAAATCAGGTATGGTGGGGAGATCACCCTCTTTGAACCACTTTCTTCTCTGGATAACTGAAAACTGCAGGACACACTGGCACTGCTTGCATTAACCTGTCTCTTAGTACAGTTAGGAACTCTTGTTATTTCTGCATAAACCGTTGCTTCCCTGTCCTGCTAAAATGCCCATGGATGCATCAGAGCCACTGGATTCCCTGGAAGAGAGAAGCCTGGTTTACTTCCAGTGGGATTCACCCCTCACCATGTGAAGGTGAATGATTCAGATCTTGGACAGTCTCCCAGATCTTGGTGTGCTGACAGAGTGCCAGGGGATGAGCTCCCACATGTGAGGAGAGCTGGGATTAATCTCTCTCACCAAGGTCTAAGAACTGAGCCATGCCTTGCCTTGCTTTGTTTGGATTGCTTCTCCTTCCCTTGCCTTGCCTTACCTTGCTTTGCTTCCCCATTTTCATCACTTTTCTCCTTTTTCACCCTCTTTCTTCTCATCCTTACATTAAATGCATTAAACATCTGGACAAGGAATGTAAGCCAGACTGTTCTGCAAGGGGCTGGTATTTATGCATTTCCTTCCTTTTTTTCTCCTCTATCCCCAGGCATTCTATTTAATAAAATCCCCTCTGACCAAACAAGTCAAGATTCCCTTATCTCTGTGGCAAATCCGGGTCATGCAGGCTCATGGATTCTGTTCTTCCCTCCCTTTGCAAACCTCCCTGCAGCAAACAGCCCCTGCTGGATTCCCAAACCTTCCTGCAGAGCTTGGTCCAGCTCCCCTCCTCCTGCAGTCCCGTGTGTGCTGGTGTGTGGAGTCTTTCTCTAGGCCTGAAGTGGGGGTGGTGGCGGACAGGCCACAGGATTGCTCTGCAGAGGGAAAATGTCCCAAAGAAAAGGCTTGGAGAACCACACTGTTGGATTTGGATTCGTTCTTCTGGCATTCTGTGACCACTCCAGCCTGCAGGGCCTGTGCTTCACGGTGTTCCTGCTCATCTACCTTGTGGTGCTGGCAGGGAACAGCCTGGTTGCCCTCCTCACTGTGCTGGACTCCAGCCTGCACAGCCCCATGTACTGCTTCCCGAGGAACTTGTCCTTCCTGCAGGTCTACTACACCTCTGTCACTGCCAAAAATGCTGGTGTGCCTCCTGAGGGCAGATGGCCGGATCTCCTTCCTTGGCTGTGCTGCCCAGCTGTATTTCCTGGTTCTGCTGGGCAGCACCCAAAGCCTTCTCCTGGCTGCCATGGCCTACGAGCACTCCATGGCCATGTGCCACCCCCTGCTCTGTCCCCTGGCCATGAGCAGGGGCTCTGCACCAGGCTGCTGCTGGGCTCCTGGGGGGCTGTGGCACCAGTGCAGGCAGGACAGACCTACCAGCTGTTCCCTTTGCCCTTCTGTGCATCCCGTGACCTTCCTCACTTCTTCTGGTACGTCCCCCTGCTGCTGGACCTGGCCTGTGAAGACACGTTCTGGAACCAAGTGGGGCTGCACACCATCACCCTGGGTTTTGTAATCCTTCCCTTCTGCTTGATAGTTCTGTCTTACATTCAAATTATCAGGGCAATTCTGAAAATCCCCTCAGTTCTGGGCAGGCACAAAGCCTTTTCCACCAGCTCCTCACACCTCGGGGTACTGACACTCTTCTATGGCTCAGCCACAGTCGTCTACTTAAAGTCGTCTACTCGAGGGATTCTGGAGATCCTGACAAACACTCTGCCCTGTTTTACACAGTTGTGACTCCCATGTTTAACCCTCTCATCTATAGCCTGAAGAGTGAGGAAGTGAGAATGGCCTTGAAGAGACTCCTATGGACAAAGTGATCCTACAGAGGGTGTAAAATGGTCCCAAATGCTACAAGTCCCACTGGGGTATATGGTTGCCTAAACAAAGCACCCCATATTCGCTCCAACAAAACCATGTGTTCCAGCCTGGCTTTCCTCCTCCTCCAGGAGGGGAACGGTGTCCTGAGGCATTCCTGTTATGTCCTGCCCTGCCATGACATCTTTGTCCTTCAGAGCACCTCCAGTACCCCAAAAGAGTTCAATGACAAGAGCTCCTTCAAGCTGGGTCTGACCAATGTAATGTTAAGGGGAAACAGTGCAATCGTGGTCAGTCATCAATGAGCCCCAGAGGTGACACAACCCATGAGAGGTGACTCCCCTTGGGTTTGAGAAATCCCTTGCTAGGCCTCATGGCCTATGGGCAGTGTTTCTGTGTGGAATCAGCTTAAAAAGCTAAAGGATATGAAGGGCACCTTGCCCTGCTATGAAATCTTGCACTGAGTTCTGTAAGGCTTGAGTAACTTGGTATACAGAATAAATAATTAATAATTTTAAAAACCCACCAAGGGGATAGTTCAGCACTAGAACAGGGTCCCAGAGACCTGTGGAGTTTCCATCTGTCAAGGTTTAGCAATGTCAGCCAGGCACTCAGCACTGCACAGTCGCTCACTCCCTCCCCACCAGAGGGGTGGGGGAGAGAATCAGAAGGGTAGAAGTGACAAAACTCCTGGGTTGAGTCAAAGACGTGCACATGTGCAAGGCCAAACCAGGAATTCATCCCCAGCTTCCCATGGACAGGCAGGTGTTCAGCACCTCCAGGAGAGCGGGGCCCCGTCCCGAGTAACGGTGACCTGGGCAGACAAACACCAGCACTCCAAAGTTCCCCCCTACACACCCTGAGTGTGATGTCCATGGTCTGGAGCTGCCCTTGGGTCAGGGGGGTCACCTGGCCCAGGTGTGTCTCCTCCCACCCTCCCACGCACCCCCAGCTCCCTCCCCAGCGTGGCTGTACCAGGGGCAGGAAAGGCCTTGGAGCTGTGCAAGTGCTGCCCAGCAATAACAAAACTGTCGATGTAGAGTCGTGGCGGTCGATAAAGACACAAAGAGTCTAGTTGTGTGCAGAAAAGATGTCTCTATTTTCTCATCTGCCTTTTTATACCCCTTGCTAGCAGCAAGCAATAACCTCATTTTAGCTAAGCAAGCAACAGTGTTTTCATTGTCTAGGATCAACTGGTGATACATTTAGCAAAGCTCAAGGCCTTATTGTAGTTCCCTCATCCTAGGCCTACCAACTTTACAGTCTGCTTTGTTTCTCCTTTAGGGCTGCGTACTGACTTCCTTATCATCAAGGATACACCCTAAAGCTTACCAAGTCAATATATTCATCCTGGGAGCCAATAGACCCACTGTTGACACCTTCAGAAGGGCCTGTGAGGTCCCTTCTCTCAGCAGGAGCTGATGGCTCAGCCCGTCACTCATGGCTGGACCAGGGGCTCTCCAGCTGCCCCTGCCCTGGCCTGTGACAGCCCAGCACAAACCCCTTTGGTTTAAAGAGGCCCTGCAGTGTCACAATGGCCCCTTGATTCTGTGAGGTTCCACAGTGTCCCAGGGCTCCCCTGATTCCATGAGGCCCCACGTGTCACAGTGGCCACTTGATTCCATGAGGTTCCACAGTGTCCCAAGGGTCCCTTCAGCTCCGTGGGGCTCTTTGACATCCCGTGACCTCCCGGCTCTTTAGGAGCCCTGAGAACTTCAACAGGGGGAAGTGCCGGATTCTGCCCTGGGATGGGGCAACCCCGCATGGACGGACAGACTGGGAAGGAGAGGCTGGAAAGCAGTGCCGGGAAAGGGCCCTGGGGGTGCTGGTGGGTGGCCAGTTGGC